ATATATATATATATATGTAAATATGTATATGTAAATATATATATTTATATATATTTATATATATTTAAATTTGTATATAATAAATTACATATAGTATATATATATAGTATAAGGGTTCTCTAGCATGTTGTTTAGTGTCCCTATGAAATGCCATATCATGCATGTTCTTCTCAAGACTATCAGCATTCTCAAGTATGTTGTTTATTACACCACAGGTGGGCCAAGCAGCCGCGCGCAAAGCCGCGGGAGTAATCTGCGCTATGGCTCGCGAGGGCGCGACTGCGGGACGGGCAGTGCTAATTGCGGGGCCACCAGGTACAGGCAAGGTATGGATTCTATAAATAGTATATACAACGTGTGTGTTCTATAAATAAAACAATATATGAATAGCGTATACGAGATGTGTTTTCTATGGATAGCGCATACGAAGGATATATTCTATAAATAGCGCAGAAATTAAGTGTATCCTATAAATAACATATACGAGGTGTGTATTCTATAAATATTATATACGAGGTATGTATTCTATAAATAGCGGGTACTAATTGTGTATTCCATAAATAGAACAGACAAGGTATTTGTGCTATGCATAGCACACGTGAGGTTTGTATTCCATCAATAGCGCACCCCTGATGTGCAATCAGAGTAAAGTACATTTGAAATGGATCAGGACACAAGATACATCGGGTTCATAACTTTCTTTAGATAGCAATGGACATCAATGATTGTTCAAGTGTATGTATATATATATATATGTATATTTATATAATATACATAATACACATATAAATATATTTTTATAGATATATATAGTTATATATACTCTGACAAACATTGAAGTTACGATTTTATTCTGAATACGTCATATCTATATCGGCTCGTCTACATATCTATAGCGACTTTCATATACCTATATTGACTTTTATATATATATATCGTTTATAGTTTCATACCTACTATGTCTATATCATCTATAATGGCTTACTATATTATAATCGCATACCCACTCGCTGCTCACACAGACTGCGCTGGCCATGGCTATGGCTCAGGGGCTGGGCAAAGACACACCCTTCACTATGCTTTCTGCGAGTGAAGTGTTCTCCTTGGAGCTCAGTCGCACTGAGAGTCTGGTCCAGGCCTTTCGACGCAGTATCGGTAAGATGAATACGTATATATATATATATATATATATATGTCATATGTGTATGTATATATGAATGTATATATATATATATATATATATATATATATATGTATATATATATATATATATATGTATATATATATATATATATATATATATATATATATATATATATATATACGTATATATATATGTATATATATTAATATATATGTATAAAAAATTAATTATGATGTATAATATATA